TTTTGTGAGACTTTGAAAATTTACAAATAAGGACTCGGTTTGGGGGGTTGTAGGAGCTAGACAGCCAATCAGTGATGACACAGAATTTGTGCTATCAACATATTCATATAGTGATTCACCAGGTCTTTTTTTGATTGCACTGGGAAGGGCATTTTGAGTGGGTGGATTACAGGTACTGAAAAGGTGATTCAGTGAAAATAAAATCCAGTGAAAAAAACATTTTTCCTACACTTTACATTTAACTCATCAAAATACGAACATACCAGAGTAACAACATATTTTTTGTGAAATATCATTCCTTGTACCAGATAAAGCCCCCCCCCCCCCCCAAAAAGAAAAACAATTTTGCTCATCAAACTAATACTTTTGAATAAAAGCATTAAAAATTGATTTGGAGCAACAAAACATCCTCTGGAAATGAAAACAAACATTTCCACATTTCACTTTATCAGTACACAAAATCGCGAAAACAATCAGATACAGGTTTCAAATGGACACATGCAATAATGAAAAACAAAACAATGATAAAATTAATTTATAATATATTGCCAAATTTAATTTTCAAAAACTTAGATTTATTCTAGTTTATATTGGATACATTAAAAATAAAACATCTTAAATTAATTACATATCTTTGACACTAACCATTGATTTCATCTATTAGAATATTCAAATTTAAACAAACTAAGATTGTGTTTACTTACTGAAGTTCCATTAGGTGTTGTTGTTGTTGTAGTTCCTCCATTCATTGTATTGCCACTGACGGTAAAGAGTTCTGTAAAGTTAGTGTTTGCATAAGAACCAATAAAATTATTTGCACCATATGCACTGTGTGAAAAAGCATCAATGTCTTCAGAGACAGTACCATTTGGTGTTTCTATAGCGCCAATCTGCAAAAAAAATAACATAATACAAGTGAACGAACTGCAAGTTTTATCACATGACCATGGTGCATATCATTCACTCTATGATATTTCACACTAAACATGGTGATATGCACGACTTACGTCATTTGATAGATAGATAGAAAATTTTACATTACTAAATTGGTGTTTAAAAAGTAATAAAGTTAATAATGAATAACTAAAAAGGAAGTAAGCGAAAGTTGAGTAAATGAAAAATAAAACAAGCCATG